TTTGAGGTCACCGTGGAGGTCGTGGCACGGGAGTCGCAATCGTACGGGCGTAAAACCCTCGAGGCATTTTGGATACAAGTCACCGATCCAAAAATGAATCGTAGGAAAGAATGTCTCGCAATCACGCGGGAGCTACGGCCTTATATAAAGTTAGCCTTCTCGCAGAGACTTTAAATGAGGACATACCCCAGCTGACACTGGTCGGTTGGTTCCATCACTGGCCAGGTGGTCTCGAAGAACCCACAGAGTTACGGTGAGTGGTTCTCTCCTTAATCATCTGCGTGCTCTATGGGTCTCGAACTTTAGTGGGTTGGTGGAACGTTCTATCGGATAGTCACAGATCGCTGTGATCCTTTCAGGCAACCTTTTCAGGTTCTGGAGAAGGCGGTTCCGGCGAAACGTCAGCACAATGAAGCTTATTTACAAACCTCGTAAAGAGTTCAAGGAAACAATAAGCTCAGTAACACAACTATGCCGAGGTTCTGTGTCATGGAATTGAAAGCATCGTTCTTGGCAGACCTCCGGATTCAGCTACAGCGCAATTCATGTGCCAGGTTGGGAAGCTAAATCCTTCTTGAGGATTTAAAAGACTAGCTCCTTCAGTTCCGATCAAATAAGTTTTTCATCTATTCATTCCTACACCCACTTAAAGGATACACATTATTCAAAAAGTGAACGATTGGGGCTGGTTCTCTGGCCGGCAGTAATGAGGGCAAAATGATTGAAGTAACTAGTAAGTAGGACGTCTGTTGGATCGAAAGATGAGAGGCACAAAGTTCAGAGCGAGACCCTTCCTCACGATCATGATTCCATCCCTTGTTGATCTGTAAAGATAGATTTGTGGCCCAGTTATGGGCACCATGCTGTGGGCGTTTACAAAACCGCGCGATGTACGGAGCACGACAAAAATAAATGGATTTTCGAAAGGTGAAGTAATGACGCCTCGGATTTGAAGTTGGGTCGGCTGAAGCGTAACGGCGTAACGCAGTAATTTTTGAAAGCCCTGAAAGGGCAGAAAATATTGTTGGTCTTGTTGTGCAGGTTCCCACTCAGATCTGTCTTTGATCCGAGTCCTTCCCTTTTAGGCTTACTACTCAGTGTAGCTCATTGCCTTGCCGAAAATTAGTAAGGAGGGAAGGTAGGTTACGTCCAGCATTGGCTTACGACACCTTGGGCAGAGCTGTTTCATTTGTAATGAGCGTTTAAAGTAATTCCAGTTCCGCTTCTTACTGTAATTTTCATTTCTACTTCTTCGTATTTCATACTTTTGTTCAGGGTTAACAGTAAAAGTCAACAGCAAAAAATATTTAACCGGTCCAGACCAAACACGCTTTCATGTGCTCCCTTGCTGCTACAAGGTAGGCTGGACTGTAACCCTCCTCCTTTTGAGGCCCAACCTCTATAGAGCACGGACAATGTGATAGTAATATTGGATTCAGTTGGGTAACGAGGCTGCATCAAGAATCAGCACTGAGTTCCACCTTTCTACTAACAACGGATGTCATCACAAAAGGACTCTCAAGAACACCTAAGACGATTCTCTCTGCTGATGACACTGTTCTGATAGCGGAGAGTAAAGATGAACAATGAAAAACATCGAAGACCTTATGACGAGATGTTTTAGCTGGTTATTCAGAGAGAAGGGGTGTCGTATTCGGGAAAAGGGATCATATGAACGAATGTTGTTCGCATGATATTATAGCAAGGCTGACAAAGGCTGGCTTTTTCAATCTCATTTGGATAGGTCTTCCAGTTATTCAGTCCTGCTCTACGCTCAGTGGGATGCCTATCTCCCAAAAGTAAACGAGTCGAACTGGTTCAGTGACCTGCGGTACCCAGGGTGAAATGATTGAAGTAACTAGGTGTAGTAAGCCTCCTGAATCGAGTGATGAAGGGTCTTATGCTTCCCAGCAAAACCCATTCTATGTGATCTCGACCTACATTCATTGAAAATCGATTTGGATTGAGCCACGGTAGTGTTATGTGCACTGTGCTATGCGCACTTTCAAAACAGGACGATATATGGAGAGCGAACGAATTGGGTGCTCTCCCGGGGCGTCTCTCCAAGTTCCTCCGAGGGACTACACGCTCACAAAAATTCAGTCAAGCTCAGTAAAAACTAGTAGGTGTGGGTTACATTGTAATGGCCGTTGTTTTGCTACAACACTGAATTTTTGAATGCCCATAGAGGGCAAAAAAGATTGTGTTGTCCTGCTGGTGAGCTTTGAATAATGCCCATTCCATACCCGAAGGCAGCTCTTTTCCCTGACCAAATAGGGTTCCATACGCTCACTCATCGCTACAGGTTCCTCTGGAACTGTAGTTCTCTCCCTATTGAGCCAAGTTTTACCAAATTTTTTAATGGGCTTAGGGAATGCAATCGTAGTAATGGATATAGTTAACGTAACGAGGTTTGTATGGATACTGTTCTCCTGAACCGTACCATTTCCAAAATACTAGCCAGGTTCACCCATTCTTATACACACTTCCAGAACATATCGTAGCAAAAACCAGTTGGATCTGTCTGGGTATTGAAAATTGGGTTCTGCTTCAACACACAGCCTGGGAATCAAATCCTCTGCGAAGCACGCAAACAAANAGATAAGCGTCTGTAGCAAAGGTCATCTGAAATGAACCTCATACCTCCTTAGCTTCAAGAGGGGTGTGATGCAGTTGAATCGAAATGGTCGCTTCGCGGGCGGAAGCGATGCCGCGCACGAGGGAATGTAGTAGAATGAAGCAGAAGCGATGCAGCGCGTAAGGAATACAGGAACAAGAGAAGTAACAAAAGAATCATGCCGACAATCATTATTGCATATCGATCGAGCTGCAATAACGAGGCAACTAGTCTGCGACTGTCGCGTGCGGCAAATGATTACGCAAAACCGATTCAACTACCCGTCCCCCCTTTCAGAGGCCTATCAGTATTAGCCGTCCTGTAACAATACACTGGGATCTTGTGCATGGATCATTTATCATCTTTTACATAGACAAATCACAAATAATATCTTTGATATACTATAATCCGATATAATAGACTCGGAGAGATACGGCTCACAGTAAAAGTAAAGGTGTAGCTCATGCCACACAATGGGGTAGCTAGAGGGCAACAGTGATGATATGGACCTGGAGGAACAACAGTCCAGAAGCGAAAGAATCGACAATCAATCAGATCAATTATGTAGAGCATTTCATGTAAATATGTTTTGTAGAAGAATTTATAAGAAAACAGCAAACAGTTGAGGATCATGGGAAAACATCAATTATTACAGTAAAAACCCGAAGGAACATTTCTGTGCGCTCTGAACTGAGGGGATCACAAAGAGACGGAAAATGCAATGTTTATGAGGGCTTCTGAAAAAAAGGTAGACAGTAAACAAAACATGGATAAAACACGCTAAACTGAGAATTCTTCTCTGTATGCTTCTAGTAATAGATGCATTATTTCTTTGAAGTCAAAGACATTCAAAAACTCCGAAGTGGACCGTAATACTCACTCTCCTTGGGGCGTTGCTTGACACCCGCTTGACCTCACCTTTGTCCTATGGGGCAGAACGGGTCCTGTGTCTCTTGTAGACCTGAAATCGATTACACTATCGATTCCCAGTTAGCTAAACAGGCTGTAAACAAATTCCTACCGGAAGGCCATCGACCACCGACTTGCAGAGGAAACGCTTGTGGCAACGTGGGCAAGTGCCATTCTGCAAAGCTACGACTTTACAAAGTTTTTGGATTTAACTCTGTAAACTTACAAATCTTGTCGTCACCGAATTGATCCAGTATCTTAGACATTCGGTGTGGAAGATGTGTCCACAAGTCAGTTTTGCAACATGGCGTACATCGAGGTCATTGCTCCAACGAATAAAACAAACGGCGCAGAACCCTTGAAAAAATAGTGAAAAATATTATGGACACTCTCGAGAAAAATCGACCCGCCTGGTTAATACAAACGCCCGTTCGCAGTAGGCTATTTATACTTAGCAGACGGCTGCTATGTCGCCTATTTTCCATTTTTTCTTCAAAAGGACAATGCAATTCTCGAACTATGCCTAGTACTCTATGTATTTCCATCTAATCTTTAGCTAATGCTCTATAAAACTCTTCTTGAACCTTTCTCCCTCCGAACGTACCGCTTTTTATCTCATCAGGACCAACGGGTACCAGGAAGCGCAGGCTAGGCGGTAGGATATGGTGATCCTCACTCATGACCGGCACCTCAATGAAAAAACTTCTGAAACAGTAAGTCCATAGAACGACAAAACATCAAAGTAAACAGGAAGCGTCGTTTCATGGATGACTTGATATTTTTGTTTCATAACTAGATGTAACGACCGTCCAGACATCCATAAAACAGTAGCCACATGGAAAAGATCAAAGTAATCTGAGAGTAAAACATTATCATAAAAAGAAAACAGGAAAAACCAGCTGACTACCAATTATGAAAAGACAGAAGCTGGAAGCCACCGCACGCACCGGCAAGGCCGCTGCAAATGACCACTTCTGCGCCACGCGTGGGTGATACAATGAAAAAGACGTAATTCCACAGAATAACCCCGCTACTATGAACGTGACCATGTTAAAAAAAGTTTAATTACTAAAAGCACAATTATGAACAAGCTTTGTACTACGAACGATTCCCAAGGAAGATATGTGAGTGACTAGCGAATCTTTTAAGGAGTATCGAGTAATTTTGGTATGGTGATAATGCATAATAGGAGGTAAACAGCCTACCACAAATTCCAGTTTGGCTGTGATATTGCTTTATTTGTTTTTTCAAAGCGGGCTGAGCTTAAGGAAATGGTGGAAGTTTGTATTTATTTCTCAAATCGGATCAAGCTATCAAGTTGTAACAGTCGAATATACAACTTAAAACAGTTGGAACAGGCAGACAAATAAAAAAGTGGAAAGAACAAAAATTTGGATAGCGCTTAGATTGAGCGCCGAAGCGGTGAGAATACGCGCGTAGGCTCAGCGCATTGCCACACGAGTGCATTTTCTACCGCGTGCGACAAAAAAACAAGTTTGACATTGAGCTATATATCTTGCTCTACTGATAGATGCATAGCTCAATCTCAAACTCAAAACTCAAACTCAAACGTGGTAGCATACCTTATGATTCGAAAGGTATGCTACAACGATCTTATGATTTTTTTGAATTTTCAATCATTTGTATGTAACTGATTCCTTTTTTTTCACGCAGGATTTTCGTGGTTGAAAGGATCGTATTAATATCACCTAAGTGTTTCTGCTGGTGTGTGTGTGTGTGTGTGTGTGTGTGTGTGTGTGTGTGTGTGTGTGTGT